TGTGCCACTGCCAAGTCGGATGGGGGTGGCTCTGCACTGCAGGATCCATGTCCTGTGCGGGGCTGGGTATCAGAAAGCCTCACTCTTGTTACAGCTGAGTAGACGTGCTCTTGCCTTCCGTGGCAGAGAGGGAACAGTGATGTGGGGAGAAGCGCCTTTCACTGGAACCAGGCAAGCCCTGGTGCAAATTCTGGCATCACTGACAAGCTGTGGGCATTTAGAAAGCTTACCACGTGGCTGGGCACGGTGGCTCACGCCTGTAATCCCAGCATTTTGGGAGGCCAAGGCCGGTGGATCACGAAGTCAAGAGATTGAGACGATCCTGGCCAACATGGTGAAACCCCATCTCTACTAAAAATACAAAAATTAGCTGGGTGTGGTGGTGCACACCTGTGGTCCTGGCTACTCAGGAGGCTGAGGCAGAAAAATCGCTTGAACCCGGGTGGTGGAGGTTGTGGTGAACCGAGATCATGCCACTGCACTCCAGCCTAGCAACACAGTGAGACTCCGTCTCAAAAAAGAAAAGAAAAAACTTACCAGGTCTCTGTCTCAGTCTCCTCATCTACCTATTGGAAGTAAGCATACTTGTTTCAATACTTGTTGAGAGTTTAAAAAGATATTAAACAGCCTAGCACAGAACTATATACTTAGTGTGTTACTAATAAAGCTTAAGTGAATTTCAATCCCTTTAATGCTCACAAATGTACCAAAAGCCCTCACTATATCCTCTCACTTAAACCTTACAACCCTGTAAGGACATATCATCACTTCCACTATATAGAGGAGGAAATAGGCTTAGGGGAAATTACTTGCCCAAGATCACATGGCTAGCTAAAGGCTGAGCTGAGCCTTGAACCCAGGTGTCAGTTCTCTCCTTCCCCTCATCCCCAAACCTGCTCCCTGAAATGTGCACTCTTCCTCCCTTCTCACAGGGAAATGGAATTATAAATGATCCAATATTTGAGCAGGTTGGGAAGGTACCTGGCTTCTCATCCCAATTAAAGTCAGACGTCATAAAGTCCCCATAAAGCCTGGGCTTTCCTTGGGCAGGGAGGAGTCCTTCTCTTTGGGCCCGGGCAACCCAGCAGCTTGAGACAACCTTACTCTGAGAGAAGAACCTGAACGTCAATTTCTGGATGTGGATGGGGAGGGACAGGATAGAGGGAAACCAAAACTCTTCATTTCATCCCAAGGCTGTCTGACACTGATAGAGAAAGGGGTTCTGACCCAGCTGAGGGTAACAGAGAATGGAACTCACATTGGTGTCTTTGTTCATTAGCCAGTGGCATACATAGAGGAGCACCGGAAGTACTCCCATTGTGGTGACTCTCCCTCAATTTAGTTTATCAATTTAGTGATCCCAGTTTAAAAAAAAAAAAAAATACTGACTTTTGTTGGAAGGTGGTAGGATTAGCTAATTGGAAAATTCGAGGGGGTAGGGCAAGGCCTGATGAAGAAGAGTGGGAGTACAGGGGGGTTGATATTATAAAAACCAATAGGTATTAAGACTTTGGAAACGAATATCCACCCTCAGGGGCTATTTAAGTAAATTACAGTTTACTCACACAACAGAAATCTAGACAACTCTTTTAAAAAAAATGCAAGAAAACTTTTTATATATAATGAACTCCAAGATACAGTAAGTCAGGAAGAACAAGGTGCAAAAGTGGGTATATGGTATGTTACCATTCATATAAAAATGAAGGGAGTTTTTTTGTTGCAGTGATTATCTATTGCTGAGGAACAAATGGCCCCCAAACTTAGTGATTTAAAACATTTATTATCCCAGTTTACATGGATCAGGAATCCAGGTACCGCTTACTTTGGCTGGGGTCTTCAAGAGGCTGTAGTGAAGCTGTCAGCTGGGGCTATTGACCCATCAAGTGGGAGGGAGGATCTGCTTCCAAGTTCACTCACATGGCATTGGTCTCTCACATGAGCCTCTCCATGGCTGCCTCACAGCATCGCAGCTGCCTTTCCCAGGATGGGTGATCCCAGAGAGAGAGAGAACCCAAGATGGAAGCTGCAGTTTTTTTTTTACCTATTTCAGAAGTGACATCCTACCACTTACGTAGTATTCTATTCATTAGAAGTGTTTCTATGAGTCCAACCTGTATGGAACAAGACGGGAGTACACAGGGCATGAATACCAGAGGTGGGACCACTGGGGACTGTCTTTGAGGATACCTACCCACCACACTCACACAGGCAAATAGTATTTATGGAAGGAAGGATACACTAGAAACATTCAATATTGGTTGCCTTCTGGGAAGGGAATTGGCAAACTGGGGGAGAAAAATTCTTCGCTGAAAATACTATTGTTCTTTTGGAGACAGGGTCTCACTCTATTGTCCAGGCTAGAGTGGAGTGGGATGATCATGGCTCACTGTAACCTCAAACTCCAGGGCTCAAGTGATCCTCCTGCCTCAACCTCCCAAATAGCTAGGACACACCACCACACCTAACTCTTTAATTTTTTTGTAGAGACAGAGTTTCACTATATTCCGCAGTCTGGTCTAAACTCCTTACCTCAAGCCATCCTCCCACCTCAGCATCCCGAAGTGCTGGTATACCTTTTTAACATATTGACATATCGCTTAAAAAATAAATCAGGCCAGGTGCGGTGGCTCACACCTGTAATCCCAGCACTTTGGGAGGCCAAGGTAGGCAGATCACTTGAGGTCTAGAGTTCGAGGCCAGCTTGGCCAACATGGTGAGACCTCAGCTCTACTAAAAATACAAAAATTAGCTGGGTGTGGTGGCACGTGCCTGTAATCCCAGCTACTCGGGAGGCTGAGGCAGGAGAATCACTTGAATCTAGGAGACGGAGGTTGCAGTGAGCTGAGATCACACCTCTGCACTCCAGCCTAGGTGACAGAGTATGACTCCATCTGAAAAATATAAACAAAATTTATTTTAAATTTAAAAAGAACAATGAAAAGGATGGCATTTTAACAGAAAAAAAGCTAAGAGGGAACAAAATGAAAACAGTAACAATGATACTTAAATACTATATAGTTATTACTGAGCACCATAAACATGGCTGTTCCTACCTAGCCATTACTTGCTTCTGAGAGTTTAGAAAGCTCTTTATTACACATACATACACATAAGCAAGCAACTCCCATTTGTAGAGCAAAATACACACGCTCAAGCTGGGATTCACAGTTCTCTTCACAATTTGGTTCCAGTCCACCCTTACTGATCCATTTCCTGCCATCCTTCTATGAACCTGTTATTTGTGATACTAAACTGTTATTTGCCAGTTCTGGTGGGTAAAGGCAACAAGCACAATGCCTGGCACACAGCAAGCTTTCGTCAAAGGTTGGCTTCCACTCCTATGCATGGAATGCCCTGCAGCTCTCTCCCAGCCCCCAGTAAAATTCCCCTCAAGACCTACCTCAAATGTGCTGTCATCAAGGAGTCCCCACAGGCAATTAGTTATCACCTCTATTCTCCCACGGCACCTGTTTTTACCTTAGCTATCACACTTTTATGATCGTATTACAACTTAAATCTCTGCAACCCAAAGTCTGGACCTTGGGCCATCAGTATTGACATTAGCTGGGACTTTGAAATGAATCTGGGTCGGGCACAGTGGCTCACGCCTGTAATTCCAGCACTTTGGGAGGCCGAGTCGGGCGGATCACGAGGTCAAGAGATCAAGACCATCCTGGCCAACATGGTGAAACCCCGTCTCTACTAAAAATACAAAAAAATTAGCTGGGCGTGGTGGCGCGTGCCTGTAAACCCAGCTACTCGGGAGGCTGAGGCAGGAGAATTGCTTGAACCTGGGAGGTGGAGGTTGCAGTGAGCTGAGGTCACATCACTGCACTCCAGCCTGAGCCTGGTGACGGAGTGAGACTCTGTCTAAAAAAAAAAAGAAAAAGAAATTAATCTGGGGCCCACCTCAGACCTACAGAATCAGAATCCGAACCTTAACAAGATATCACTGATTTATTTGCACACTAATCTTTCCCTGGTTGAACTGTGAGCCTTTCTAGGGTTCTCTTTCATCTCCGTCCCCCGAGCCCAACATAAGACTTGACACTCAAAGGTTTTTTAAGTTTTATTTATAATATGTATATGATAGATTTTAATTTCTGAAAAAATAAATACACATTATTAATAATAGTTATAGGTATATAATGATGCATAATCAAAATGGATTATCTTTATAGATAGAAAAACATGAAGATTTGGGAAAATGCATGTAAAATGTAAGATAAAATGTAAATTGTAAGATATAATACATTCACAAAAGGTATATAATTGTGTTGAGCTACATTTACAGATATAAAAAGATGAACAAATTACATTAGGTTTAAAAAAAAGACAATCTAACAGTATGTATCAATGATACCATGTTTGTTCTTTAAAAAATTTGTGAATTGGCCGAGCACAGTGGCTCATGCCTGTATTCCCAACATTTTGGGAGGCCGAGGTGGGAGGATCCCTTGAGCTCAGGAGTTTGAGCTGGGGAATATAGTGAGACCCCATCTATATTGAAAAAAATAAAATTTATGAATAGACACTGAAAAGATACACATCAAAATATCTCTAATGAAGTTTGTTTTAAAATTTTCTACTTAAATTTTTTCTAGTTTTCCTGTGATCTTTATAAAAGCGTATCACTTATAAGAAAAGTTATTTTCATTTTGGAAAAATATCTATACCCTTTACTAAGCCGCTTTACATTCAAAGGCCAAGATTTTTACAGCGCCCTGGGAAGCTGAAAGGTTTGAAAGTAACACCACTATTACATGGATGACGGTAGCGGGCCTTGGAAATGTGATCCCAAAGGAGTGACTCTGGGCTGGTGTTCTCCCACCCTGAAACTACTCCAGACTCAGAGGAATGTGGCAAGCCAGATGCCAGCTTTGGCCAAAAAAATAAACCCTGTCATTTTAGGAGTCTCACTATGCCAGTGACTTCCTCTGAGAGTGTAACAGTAATGAGGAACCCTTCAAAGACAAATCATTAGGAGTCTCACTATGCCAGTGACTTCCTCTGAGAGTAACAGTAATGAGGAACCCTTCAAAGACAAAGCATTCAGGATTCATGCTGCACCACCTCCCCCTGGTGGCAGGCGCTGGAAATTGGCTTGATGATAACTATTGCAATTGGTCAAAATTTTTTAAATATATTCCGTCAAAATCACACTTATTTCTTTAAATCATCAAAACCAGTTTTCCTTTTGTCGAGGATTCAAGTATTGACAAAAGACACAAAGCCAGGACCTGCTGTCAACCAGACGATGCTGTGGATGATACCAAGGGCAGTGTGGCTCTTTGCCTCCTGTCCTAGCCTTCCTTACCTCTTCAAGTCTACAATGGATGCAAGGCACTATGTTCTTCCTGCTTTCTCTCTATCTCCATCCACTTCCCTGAGCCTCAGAAAAGGGCAAGGCGCATGGCTCACATACTCTCAGCCACGGCCTGGCATGCAGCAGCTCCTTCAGACATCTAAGCACTAATCCCCCCCAGGACCCAGTCTTCAGGTTCAACTCATTGATATTTCAAATATGTCAGATTGAAATACTGACGTTTCTTTAGAAATAGCAGGGTGCAGCAATGTCAGTCTTCAACTGTGGTGCCCGTTGTCTCCAGATAAACACAGCTTCCTTACTCTTCCAGGAAGAAGGACACATTCAATAGGATATCTGAAATAGGAAGAGAGAAAAACTGGCATTATCACCTCTCCAGAGAATATAAAACACACAGAGGCATAGCAAGGGCATCTTTCTAATGTTTCCAAAGAGGTGGGCCACAGGGAAAAAATGGAGGAGAGGAGACATGAAGGAAGAACAAAAACCCAGTACCCTGTACAAGATCTTGGTGTTCATCTTTTGAAATTCGGTCCCAGGCCTTCGGCAAAGCTTGGATGTTTGCCAAGTCTCCCCACTGGATAGAAGAAAGAAGATACTTTCTCTTCAGGTACCTTCCTGGAAGTTAAGGACTGCTCAAAAGAAAATGAAATATGCTGAAGAAAAAAAAAAAAAACGCCCTGGTAAGAACCAGAAGGAAGTATAAAAGTGAAAGTGCAGATATCCTTACACTTTACCAAGTGGGCCTGATTAACCAATGCTACAAATATTTCCTACAATATTTACTAATATGGTTTTGTGCTACAGGGAAAGAGGAATATAACCATCCCTGAAATCTGGGATCTCAGCACGGTGAGGACAAAACCAGATCCTGAGAAGAAAAAACAAAAGTGACGTGAAAGGTAAAGCTCAGTGGAGGTCCTGAGAATCAATACATCCAATTCAGAGGACATCAGGGACACTCCAGCTGGTAGGAAACATAAGCAAAGGCACAGAAGCAAAGATGCATGGAATGAATTCACAGAAAGCAAATCTTCCAGTCTGCTCAGCATGGATGCCACATGGAGAGCAGTCGGCAAAGCTGAAAGGTGGGCTGAGCCAGAACAGAAAGAACACTGAGTACCAAGGTAGGGACTTTGAACTTGATCCCACTGGCAACAGGAGCTATTCCTATACAGTACAGTACAATTCTGATCCTAAGTAGCAGGATCAGAACCAGACTTCCTGAAGATACAGAGTGAGATCATTAATTGGAGTCAGCTTAGAGGGAAAGAAACTAGAGACAGAGAAACCTGTCAAGAAGCTACATGCAATTAAGAGTCCACGTGAGAGGTAAGAAGCCACGTAAGCAGCAGAGGGGACAGAGAAGGAAAATTGAAGAAGCACCAGGGAAACAGAATGAAAGGACTTGAAGAGTGACTGTGTCAACATTCTGGCACATAGCAAGTGCCCTGTAATGTCAGCCGCAGCTCTTGCTCCTTCTGCCCATGCTCCTGTTGCTGTTACTACTGCTGCTACCCATGCATTTAAAAGAGGAAATAGGCCAGGTGCGGTGGCTCATGCCTGTAATACCAGCACTTCTGGGAAGCCGAGGTGGCAGGATCACCTGAGGTCAGGAGTTCAAGATCAGCCTAGCCAACATAGTGAAACCCCATCTCTACAAAAAATATATATATAAATTAGCCAGGCGTAATCTCAGCTACTTGGGAGGCTGAGGCAGAGAACTGCTTGAACCCGGGAGGTAGAGGTTGCAGTGAGCCAAGATCATGCCACTGCACTCCAGCCTGGGCGACAAGAGTTAAACTCTGTATCAAAAAATAAATAAAAGAGAAAACAGGGTGGATTCTACAACTCAAGGAAAAGGGGGCTGAATTTGAGGGCTAGATTGAGGAGTTCAATTGTAAATTTGAGTTTGCAGTTCCAAGAACAATCTAGTTGGAGGCATCTGCAGGAAACCAAAAATCAAGACTAGAGAAAAGCAAAGCTGGGGTTTGGGAGTTATTCACATGAAGGCAGAAGCCTAAGCCAGAGGCTAAAATTTGGCATCAGGCAAGAACTGAGAAAAGACCAGGCATGGTGGCTCACACCTGGACTCTTAGCATTTTGGGAAGCCAAGCTAGTAGCATCACTTGAGGCCAGGAGTTCAAGACCAGCCTGGTCAACACAGCAAGACTCCATCTCCTAGGGAATTTGTTTTTTTGAGAGAAAAAGGTTAGAGCTTCAACTAATTGGTCTTTCCGCTTTTACCTTTGCCCCCAGTACCCCAAATCTTACCCCACAACAAAGCCAGAATGATACTGTTAAAGACATAGGTCTTATCCTCCTTACTCAAAAGTTTCTAAGAGCTTTTTCTTTCACTCAAATGCTTTTTATTCTGGGGGGAGGGGGGCTGCAGTTTGAGACAGGGTCTTAATCTGTCACCTAGGCTTGTTCACACCTAGGCTGGTGATCACGGCTCACTGCAGCCTTGACCTCCCAAGGCTCAAGCAATTCTCCCACCTCAGCATCCTGAGTAGCTACGACTACAGGTGCACACCACCATGCCTGGCCCAAAGTCGTTTTTTTTTTTGTTTTTGTTTTTTTTTTTTTTTTGAGACTCTATTACCCAGGCTGGAGGGCCGTGGCATGATCTGCAACCTTGACCTCCCCAGTTCAAGAAATCCTCCAGCCTCAGCCTCCCAAGTAGCTGGCACTACAGGCATACACCACCATCCCTGGCTAATTTTTGTATTTTTCTGTAGAGACAGGGTTTCACCAGGTTGCCCAAGCTGGTCTCAAACTCCCAGGCTCAAGCAATCCTCCCACCTCAGCCTCCCAAAGTGTTGGGATTATAGGCATGAGCCACCACACCCAGATCCCAAATTATTTCAAAGACCTTCAAGTCCCTACAAAGTCGAGCTCCGTCTTACTACCCTCATCTGCTATTAAGCTCCCCCTCATACTCTGCTCTAGCCTCCTATTTCCTGAATATACCAGAAATGTTCTTACCTCAAGGCCTTTGCATTTGATGTTTCCTTAGCCTAGAACTTTCTCTCCCCAAATATCTGCGTAGCTCTTTCCCTTTCCCTCTTCAGATGTTTGCTCAAATATCACTTTCTCATGAGGCCTGCTCTGACCACTCTATTTTAAATCGCAACCCTCTCCTCCCCTCCTCACTTTCCCCACTTTATTTTTCTCCATAGCACTTATCATCATCTGGTATTCTATTTTCCTTTTTTAATGCCTGTCTCTCTGCACCAAGAACAGTGCCTGACATGCAGTAGCTACTCAATAAATTATTAGAGGAAGGATTGTACAAAAGAATGCAGAAAGAATCCAAGTTCAGGAACCCCCAAAGAGAACTGATCCATACTATATAGTTTTCCAATCTTGTGAAAACTGAAATTTGAAAGACTTAGAACAGCTCTGGCTATGATCTGAAATGTGTGCAAAGGATATGAATTTCGATAATGCCTCTCAATATCTTGCAACCATTCCAACATGTCAGCCACAGAGGGGCTCGCCACTGAAGACTGCAGGACAGCATCAGTGCCAACTGTGTCTGCGTGTTGTTCATAGATCTGAAACACTCGCTCCACATGGCTGCTGACCGTGTCTCGCACCTTGAGGAGGATGGCTCTGTAGGAAAGAGTCTGACATTAGGCAATATCATGAGACAGGTATAAAGGAAGGTTTCTCAATTTTGGCACTACTGATATTTTGGACTACAGGATTCTCTGTTGTGGAGAGCTGCCCTGTACTTTGGAGGATGCTTAGGAGTATGCCTGGCCCCTACCCAATAAACAACAGGAGTAAACTATACCTATACCCTCCATAAGCCATAACAACCAATGTCTCTAGATGTTGCCAAATGTCCCCTCATTGCAAAACCATCTCTTTGTAATCCCAGCACTTTGGGAGGCTGAGGCAAGTGGATCACGAGGTCAGGAGTTTAAGACCAGCCTGGCCAAGATGATCAAACCCTATCTCTACTAAAAATACACAAATTAGCCAGGCATGGTGGCAGGCACCTGTAGTACCAGATACTGGGGAGGCTGAGGCAAGAGAATCGCTTAAACTGGGAGGCAGAGGTTGCAGTGGGCCGAGATCATGCCACTGCACTCCAGCCTGGGCAACAAGAGCGAGACTCTGTCTCAGGGGAAAAAAAACCATCTCCAAGCGAGACCAGTGGGATAAGGGAATTAGTGACAATGCCTTGGAGGTAGGAGTGGCTCAAGAATCAAGAAAGGGGCTGGGCACAGTGGCTTGATACCTTAATTCCAGCACTTTGGGAGGCTGAGGTGGGTGGATCACCTGAGGTCAGGAGTTTGAGACCAGCCTGGCCAACATGGCAAAACCCCATCTCTACTAAAAATAAAAAAATTAGCCAGGTGTGGTGGTGCACGCCTGTAGACCCAGCTACTCGGGAGGCTGGGACATGAGAATCACTTGAACCCAGAGGCAGAGGTTGCAGTGAGCTGAGATAGTGCCATTGCACTCCAGCCTGGGTGATAGAGTGAGACTTCATCTCAAAAATAAATAGAATATTTTAAAAATTAAAACATTAAAAAAAAAAAAAAAAAAAAAAAGCCAGGTGCAGTGGCATTCCTGTAATCCCAGCATTTTTGGAGGCCAAGGCCTTGAAGCTAGAAATTCAAGGCCAGCCTGGGCAATTTGGCAAGACCATCTCTACAAAAAATTTTAAAAATTAGCCAGGTATGGTGACAATCACCTGTACTCAGGAGGCTGAGGCAAGAGGACTTAGAGGCTACAGTAAGCTATGATCATACCACTGCACCTCAGCCTGGGCAACAGAGCGAGACTCTCTCTCTAAAAATAAAATAAAAAGAAGACAAAGTATTAAGTAAAGCACCCAACATTGTTTCGTGAAACATTCCAGTTATATATGCATGTATGTGTGTCTATGAATAATACAAAATATATTTTTTTCTGTAAGTCAAAGTCCAAAGCTAAAAACCACTGAACTAGAAAAAACCAAGTGCCTCTTGGGTGGTAGGCTTTGACAGGCAGTGTTTTATTCTTTAAATTGAGATGTAATTCACAAACCATAAAAGTTACCATTTAAAAGTATACAACTTGCAGTAAACCTGTTCTGTATGATACTACAATGGTATATAAATGTCACTAAAGGTCAGGCATGGTGGCTTACACCTGTAATCCCAACATTTTGGGAGGCTGAGGAAGGCGGATTACTTGAGGTCAAGAGTTTGAGACCAGCCTGGCCAACATGGTAAAACCCCGTGTCTACTAAAAATAAAAAAATTAGCCAGGCGTAGTGGCGGGCACCTGTAATCCCAGCTACTCAGGAGGCTGAGGCAGGAGAATCACTTGAACCTGGGAGTGGAGGGTGCAGTGATCTAACGGAGGTTGCAGTAAGCCAAGATTGTGCCACTGCACTCCAGCCTGGGTGACAGAGTGAGACTCTGTCAAAGGTGACAGACAGATCTAACAACTGTATGATTTTCTACATTAACTTATCCATCATTTCATGAGCTGCTTTACCTCTCTGATCTCATCTTTTTTTTTTTTTTTTTTTTTTTTTTTTTTTTTTTTTTTTTTTTTTAGAGACAAGATCTGTCACCCAGGCTGGAGTGCAGTGACATAAACATGGCTCACTGCAGCCTTGACCTCCTGGGTTCAAGTGATCCTCCTGCCTCAGTCCCCTGTGTAGCCCCCGTGTGACCACAGGTGCCCATTCCCAAACCCAGATAATTTTTTGATTTCTTGTAGAGTCAGTCTCACTTTGTTGCCCAGGCTGGTCTCAAACTTGTGGTCTCAAGCAATCCTCCTGCTTCTGCCTCCCTAAGTGCTGATATTACAGGCTGAGCTGCCATACCCAGCTGATCTCACCTCTTACCAGGCCTCTGCTCCAGTCATACTATTCTCTCTTTTTTTGAGACAGAGTCTTGCTCTGTCACCCGGGCTGGAGTGCACTGGCATAATATTGGCTCACTGCAACCTTCACCTCCCAGGTCCAAGAGATTCTCCTGCCTCAACCTCCTGGGACTATAGGTGTGCACCATGATGCCCAGTTAATTTTTTGTATTTTTAGTAGAGATGGGATTTCACCATGTTGTCCAGGCTGGTCTCAAACTCCAGACCTCAAGTGATATGCTTCCCAAAGTGCTGGGATTATAGGCATGAGCCACCGTGCCTGGCCAGTCAAACTACTCTCTATGCACGCTACTCACACCCATGTCTTGACTCAGTTTACACCTTTTCAACCATCAGGTTTTAAATATCACTTCCTCCCAGAAGTTCCTCCCTCCTCACAAGCCATACTTATTAATATCTTAAGAAATCTCACAATTTAATTCACTGTCTATTTCTTCTGTTCTATTAAGAACAGGAAGTAAGTCTGGTTCATTATTGTATTCCTGGCATCTTGCACTGGTGCCTGATGAATGCATTTTGTACAAATAAATAATAGGAATGTCCTCATCTGTGACAGTTTCCTATTAGTCTATGGCACAGACTGTATATACTGGAACTTTCTTTTGTTCTGGTTCAAGGAAAGGATACACATGCCCTGTCTCTTCTCTGCCCTTAATAACCTATAACTCTCATCCTGGACAACAAAGTAAGCCTCCATCTCTACAAAAATTTTTTAAATTAACTGGACATAGAAGTGCATGCCTGTTGTCCCAGGTACTCAGGGGGCTGAGATGGGAGGATCGCTTGAACCAGGGAAGTCAAGGCTGCAGTGAGCTGTGATCATGCCACTGCACACCAACCTGGGTGACAGAGTAACACCCTATCTCAAAAAAAAAAAGCCTGTAACTCAGATACTGGGTCTGACAACAAGTGTATCAGAACTTAGAGATGTGCTTCTCCTGGGCACAGAGATTCCAATCTACAGCAGAACAAAGTGGTGATTAAGAGCTCTAGCTTTTGTGTCAAACACCCTTGAGTTAGAATCCCAGCTCCACTCTTTACTAGTTGTGTCGCTATGGGCAATCTGCTTGAGCCTCAGTTTCTTACCTGCATGGAGTAAGTGCAGTTAAGTCAGAGATATGTTGAAGAGACTTTATGACGTAATATATGTAAATCCCTTAGCTCTGGGACCTACTAAGTTTACACAGCTCCTCACTGCCTTTTACCAAAGAAAAGTATAGGGGAGAGCTAATACGCTTTCTTTGCTCCTTTTCTGTTCTTTTGTGGTTTCTACTAAGCCCACCACAACCATGCCTAGTCTCTGACAAGGAAAATACCAGAAAATGGCTTTCTGACAGAGGTCCCACTGCCCCAGATGGAAAGTAAGGAAGGTTGAGATACCTCCAAATGCCATGCTTTCAAGGAGAAAAACACCTTCTAGACTGATCCTAGCTACATATAAAACACCTCGCTTTAAAATTCTTCCACCAAGAAAGAGCACTACGGAGCCGCTTACAGCCTTTCCCCTAGCTTGTCCAGGACGATGTCACCAGCCGCCAGCTGCTTACGCCTCAGTCGCTCTTTTAAGTCTGGGAAGGCCCGAAGCGCCGGCACATCCTCAAATCTCAGGTTCTGTGCGGCCTGCAGCTGTTCCGCCAGGTTGCTGAGGGAGACCAGGAGGGGCTGGCAGTCTAGCAGGGCGCTCTGCCACAGGCTCTGCTGCTCCTCCACCACGGGGAAGCACTTCTTCAGGGCCTCCTGCACAGCAAGCAGAGGCCGGTCTTGAGTCATCTTCTGTTGAAAAAGATAAAAACATAAAGAAAATAACCATGTAGGGGTGCCAAGTCAGTCGGGGAGGCACTGGGTCGAAGGTGGGCGGTCATCTCCATCCTCGTGTTTGGATAGGAGTTGTCTCACCTCCAGAAGTGGCTTCTTTTTTTTTTTTAGATGGAGTCTCACGCAGTGGCGCGATCTCGGCTCACTGCAACCTCCACCTTCCAAGTTCAAGCGATTCTCTTGCCTCAGTCTTCCCAGTAGCTGGGATTACAGGTGCCTGCCACCACGCCCAGCTAATTTTTGTATTTTTAGTAGAGACGAGGTTTCGCCATGTTGGCCGGACTGGTCTTGAACTCCTGATTCGCCCGCCTCGGCCTCCCAAAGTGCTGGGATTACAGGCGTGAGCCACCGCGTCAGGCCCTGCCTCAGCTTTGTGAAGGAGATCCTGGCTTTACCTCGGGAAGGATGACCTGGATAGGGCAGTCTCCTGCTACAGAGAATTCCCGGCATCCAAGCGCCGTCTATTCTCTGACCCAGAGGCCAGTCTCCCCTGCCTGAGGCTGCCGGTCGCCTTCCTGAAACCAGGAGAGACAGCCAAAGTGTGAGAACCCTCCAGACCTGCACACACACCCGTAGTCTGTCTGCGTGTGCTCAAATGTGACCACCCCGCAAAGCTCCTCTAGCTTGCAGGGCTACTGAGTCGCGAAAATATATCGTTGTGCCGCAATGACTTCTGGGTACTGTAGTCCCACATGTGGATTGGCCACTCGGCTTGAAGCTTCCTTGGGATGTTGCAGCCGTCCCAACACGGCAACTTCTTATTTGTCAGTCTGCGGCAGTTTAAATTGGTGGCGGTGTTGCCACGTCCTATTAGCTGGGAGTCTCTTCCTCTCAGCTTGCGCCTCCGGCTATGCCTTAATGACACATTTTACAATGTTTGTGGCACAGCCAACTGGCAAAAACTAGTGAATCAGGGGTTCCTGACGTGGCAGCTCTAGCTAAGATGCAGGGGGACGTCCTAGGTGCCCAGGGAAGTCGGGCGCATTGGGGAGTGGGGTGAAAGAAGCCCTGAAACCAAGAGGCTGGAAGCCCGACTTGCCCAGCATAAAAATACCTGCTGGGGGGAGCCTGCATTAGGTACCGGTTGTCATCACCTCTCATCTTGGCCATCTGCCTGATGAAGATCCTCAGGCACCCAGCAGACGGGTGTCACCCCCATCACCCACTGCCCAGGGCTGACCTCGGGCGGAAGAGCTACATTCAAGTACTTGTTGCGTGTGGAGCAACAGGACAGGCTGGAAGGGAGAGAAAGGACTCTCCAGGAAGGGCCAGGCTTGCCAGTGCCCCCAAGCTTGCTGGTGCCTATCAGGAGCCTGCTTGGCACCTTTGCTTATTTCCTCAATTGTTCCTGAGCTCAGAGGGGGAGAGGCAAGATTATCACCCCTACAGTCTATAAAATGCACACTTAAACACAAACACAACCCCTCTGACATGGCTTCAGACCGCATCCACAGGTGAAAAGCACCAAATCCAAACAATCATAGCACAAACTCGTCAAGAGCTCACCAGTCTGGCCGTCTGGTCGCCGTCCGCCTTGAGACTCAGCCTGAGCTATCGCTCTGATCCCTGGAGACTTCAAGACTAGCCTCTAGCCTTGCTGGGCCTCAGCACAACCCCTGAGCAATCCAACCCTGTGGCTGTGGACAGATGTCAAGATGCACAGTTAGCACCTCCGACTGGACCGCGGCTCGGCGGGGCTCGCCGTCTACACGCCCAACACCCAGGGCTGCCTCCTGCCTTGGGCTCCCTGTTGTCTGGCGACCGCTGTTCCTGCTGCAGTCACCGTATGGCCAGCTGCCAAGCGCCGCCACCTGCACCTTAAGTCGCGACCCCGCACTGCGCACCCAGTCGAGGCGCCAGGATGAGAGCTGGGCAGGAGGGGCCAGCCCGCGGGCGAGCGAGGAACGAGAGGGTTCCCCCACTCGCTGCCCAGACTGGCCGCGCGCTGGCACCGCCCACCCCAAAGCCTGCACCCCGCCCCCTTCCAAACTCTGCTGGGTGGGGCTGCTCTGTCCCCACCGACCCTCCACTTGCCCGAGGTTTCCTCCACTTGTCTGAAGTTCGGCCTGGGAAGCTTTGGACCCTGAGGAGCGCAGAGGTAGGCAGCCAGCCAGTTAGTAGTCAATCAGTGGGTCACGGCGGCCCTCGGCTACTCAGTGGCAACCAGGCCAGAAAGAAGCAGCCTCCCAAAGTGCTCGGATTCCCAGCGTCCAAGTGGGCCCCCGGCGTCCTAGTCGGCCCCCAGCACTCCAGAGCTTACAATGCCGGGTTGCCGCCGCAAGGCCTGTCGGGAGTAGTAGTTTATATCGTTTACAGCTGGCCAGGGCGGAGCCGGGTGAGAGGTGGAGAGGGCGGGGAAACAATCTTGAACCACAACTCCCAGGAGTAACCGCGACGGCGGCGGCCGCGCTGACGTACTCAGGCTGTAGAGGGCGCATTGGGCGGGAGACCCTGGGCCGGCAGGAACTTGCTTGTGATTGGATGTTGTGGGACGGCGGCTTCTCATTCGTCAGTCTGTGGCCGTGGAGTTTGAACTGGGTGGCGGTTGGCGGTAGAGCCGCTCTCTCTCACTTGCACAGGGAGGTTTTGCTTAGCCCTTGTCTCGGGAGCGCAGGTACGTGCCTGGCGACTTCTTCGGGTGGTATTTGTCCGCCTTTCTCGTGCCTACCCGGTTCCTTGCCTCCCTGCCCCATCTCCGCCGCTCCCCGCAGCCTCCGCCGAGCGCCATGGCTCCTAGGAAGGGCAGCAGTCGAGTGGCCAAAACCAACTCCTTACGGAAGCGGAAGCTCGCCTCCTTTCTGAAAGACTTCGACCGTGAAGGTAAGGGGCCGGGCCGTCACGGCTTCCTGGGGCGGTCGCGGGATGCTGGTGGGTGGGGACACGAGCAGCACATATTCACCCGCCCCGTGACCCGTGTCCCGTTGGCTCTGCCCTCCCGCAGTGGAAATACGAATCAAGCAGATTGAGTCAGACAGGCAGAACCTCCTCAAGGAGGTGGATAACCTCTACAACATCGAGATCCTGCGACTCCCCAAGGCGCTGCGCGAGATGAACTGGCTCGACTACTTCGGTAAGAGCTGGAACGCTTCCCTGGGCGGAGGCCTGGAGCCCCTTGGGGTTAGGTGACACCCTTCAGAAAGGGCTCGCTCAGATGTCACCTTTTAATGAGATCTGACATGACCACTTATGGAAAATGGCAGACCTACTGCTCCCCTTCACTCTGTCTCACTTCCCTACTTCGTTTTTCTCCATGCTTTTCTCTAAAGGTCTAGCTAGCAAATATTTTAGTCCACTGGTGCGGGGGGTGGTGGGGGTCTCTGTCGGACTACTCAACTCTGTGATACAGTTCCAAAACAGCTGTAGGGAATGGGCATGGATGGGCTGTATTGCAATAAAATTTTAGTTATGGATACACTGAAATGTGAATTTCGCATAATTTTTCCACATCAGGAAATAGTATTTTTATTTATTTATTTATTTTTTCGACAGAGCCTCAGTCTGTCACCCAGGCTGGAGTGCAGTGCAGTGGCGTGATATTGGCTCACTGCAACCTCCACCTCCTGGGTTCAAGTGATTCCCCTGCCTCCTGCCTCAGCCTCCGGAGTAGCTGGGATTACTGGCGCCCGCCACCACACCCGGCTGATTTTTGTACTTTCAGTAGAAACGGAGTTTCATCGTGTTGGCCAGACTGGTCTTGAACTCCCAACCTCAAGCCTGCCTCCGCCTCCCAAAGTGTGGGATTACAGGTGTCAGCCACTGCCCGGCCAGGAAATAGTATTTTTTAAAATATATGTGTATTTTGGCCGGACGCGGGGTTGAGGGGTGTGGCTCACGCCTGTAATCTCAGCACTTTGGGAGGCCGAGGTGGGCGGATCACAAGGTCAGCAGTTCAGGACCAGCCTAGCCAATGCGATGAAACCCTGTTCTCTACTAAAGAATACAAAAATTAGCTGGGCGTGGTGGCGGGTGGCTGTAGTCCCAGCTACTCAGAAGGCTGAGGCAGGAGAATCTCTTGAACCCGGGAGGCGGAGGTTAGGCGGAGGTTGCGGTGAGCCGAGATCACTCCACTGCACTCCAGCCTGGGTGACAGAGCAAGACTCTTGTCTCAAAAAAAATTAAAACAAAAACCATAAAAATATATGTATATTTTCCCTTTCCCATGTAACAATGAATAAATGATGTAGTTAGTTAACCAGAGCTCAGATAGAATAACCCAAAGCAGCTCCTTCTGCAGCCTATGGAAATTGCTACCTTAAAAATGGACACATCAGTTTTCCTGGCCAGAGAAAAATCACAGCCTGTTTCCCCCCTCCCTTATTAAATGTCCAGGGAAATGCAGGAGGCTGGACTTTCTGCTGGATTGCCTTTTCTTTTTCTCTTTTCCTTATTATTAATTACCCAGCATGTAGTCTCCTTCTTGGTTAGAAATGCATGTTCTGCTCACATATTTGACATTTAATGATCCTTTTGACTTGCCCTTTTATTTATTAATATTAAGCCATTCATTTGCTCATTTCCACAAATATTGAGTATGTGTCAGTCACAGTGCTAGGTGCTAAAGATGCACTGGGGAATAACACAGACAGTGTCTGCGACTTCAGGAATATGCAGGTTAGTAGAAAAGAGCTATTAGAAAAATCCACATGCAATTATCTAATTAAGTATAGGTACTACAAAGGAGATAGAATAGAGTCGTGGTCAGTGAGCCTATTTATATTGTGCTTCCTATGCCAGATGGGCATTGTACCAAATGTTTTATATACATTGACGAATTTTTCTTCCTAACTAATAATAATATTTGTTTTTCTTTTTTCTTTTTTTTTTTAAAGATGGGGTTTCACCATGATGGCCAGGCTGGTCTTAAACTCCTGACCTCAGGTGATCCACCCACCTCAGCCTCCCAAAGTGCTAGGATTGCAGGAGTGAGCCACCGCACCGAGCTTTAATATTTCTGTTTTTCAAAACAATAAGATTAAGGTACAGAGAAATTGGATACTTTGCTCAGGGCCTTATAAGCTAGTTAGTGGCATAGTCTGTTTGAACCCGGGTATTCTGGTTTCATTGCCTAAGATCTTAACTGTTTTACAAGATACTATGAGGGTTTCTAGCAGGAGGATCTAAGCTAACTTTTTATTCTACATGTAAATCTCACAAAGACCTTTTCATTCGACACGTTTACTATACAGCTGTTGTCCGCTAGATTTTTGCAAGAAGCAAAGGATATCATCTCTGGAATTCAGTCCAAGGCAGAGATGGACATTTAAATAGCTTTGAGTAGTTGTTGGGTATTATGAGGGTCAGCAACTAATACCACACTTTGCAGCAGCCTGTGAGATCGAAAAATAAGCAGGCTGGGTGCAATGGCTCATGCCTATAATCCCAGCATTTTGGGAGGCCGAGACAGGTGGATTGCTTGAGTCCAGGAATTTGAGACCAGCCTGCACAATATAGTAAGACCCTATCTTTAAACTTAAAAAAATAATAAAAATTTTAATGAGTTCCTAGTGAAAGGAAAACAAGAAAAAAATTTTAAAAAAGAAAAATAAGCAGGGAGCAGGGCCTGGGGTGGGCGTTCATGCCTATAATCCTAGTACTTTGGGAGGCCGAGGCAGGAGTATCACTTGAGCCCAGGAGTTCAAAGCCAGCCTGGGCAACATAGCAAGAGACTACATCTCTAGTTTAAAAAAAAAAGCCTAGACAACTTGGCGATACCCTGTCTCTACAAAAAAATACAAAAACTAGCCAAATGTGGGGGCACATGCCTGTAGTCCCAGCTACTTGGGAGGCTGAGGTGAGAGGATCAGTTGAGCCCTGGAGATAGAGAGCTCTTAAGATAGCCACTCCACTCCAGCTTGGGTGACAGAGCAAGACTCTTGTCTCAAAAATAAATAAATAAAATTTAAAAAATATTTTTAAAAAAGAAAAATAAGCAGAATTTTTGGGGTGATGTTTGAGCTGAGTTTTGAAGGATGAGTTCGAAATTAGTCTAGTACGGAGGGGAATTTCAGGCAGAGGAAATACAAAGTACTATGGCAACAAGTCAGGAGAATCAGTGGCACACCTGGGATATAACTTGGAGAAAGAATAGCTTAGATGGTGAAGGTCCTTCAATGTTAGACTACGGGCTGGACCAGTTTTAGAAAGACAAATGGTACTATTAGGTGAGATGATTTATTGTTAAAATCTAATCGTAACTACAATGTTCTTTTTAAAGCCCTTGGAGGAAACAAGCAGGCCCTGGAAGAGGCAGCAACAGTAAGTGACCTGTCCTGTTTTCCAGCCGCTGCTTAGTTCTTAAGTCTAGTCCGGTCCCCAGAGCCAACGAATAGGTGTTTACTGTGGAAGAGGTTGCCTAAAGGGACATTATCTGTTTGTGTTAACTGAAAAATTAAAGTTGGGCCAGACACTGTGTACACGAGACCCCTATAGTTCTGAGCCCTACAGAGGGTGGCAGTTCTATTTTTGACCAATTTCTTGCAGTCGTTTGTCCTGAACTCTACAGTGGAAGTAGAAAGCCTCAAGCCCAAGTTCCTTTAAGCCCCTGGGTCATTACAGTGTGCGTTGGCCTGCTAGAAGACGAGGCTGTTTTCATCTTGTCATACTGTAGAAGCAGTGCTCTTGCTGGGCATGCTCATTACTCCCCAACCCCTCTCACCTCCTTCCTCCCAGCATCAGTACCAGGATTGAAGGCAGTAAGAAGAGGATACAAAATAGAGCATTGAAAGCTGCA